AAAAAAAAAATTAATCTAGAAAATAAAATACAAATTCTACCCCCTCCCCAACTTCAGTGATCAAGTGTTAATTTCATTTTTTAAAAATTAAGCCTCAGTATCAAGAAAAGTGGAAGAAGTGTTGATTTGTGGAAGCTTGAGAGAACAAGATGTCCAATATGTTAGTCTGAAAATGCAGGTTATTGATGAAATTGGTTGTTGCTTAAATTGCATCTCTGGAACACATTGCCTTGTTTTTCTCTCCTATCTTTCTGTGGTGTTGATGTAAGGATCATTTGAGAACATGTTGTAAAGTGTTTAAACTGATGCTCAGTGTATATATGGGTAGTGTTTGTTTATTCTACCCTGGGGTCTTTTGCAGACTCTGGTGCATGATAAGCACTTGGTACATATTTATCGAATAACAGAAAGTTAATTCCCTTTCCCTTGTCCTCTTATTGATGTGAATCCCTGCTAGTCTGGGGAACATGGTTTGGAAATCAAAACCTTGATTTTTACTACACGGTAAGTGTGTTCACATCCTTAATCCAATTTTCAGTCAAAATGAAACCAGGAGGCTTGTTGGAATGTATAAAGGTATGAGCTGAGTGGAAGCCTAGGATCTCATTCAATTCATTTTGTGTGTGTGTGTATGTGTGTGAATATAGTAGATGATAGGTGTTCAGAGAGATGATGAGTAATATACTATGAGCCTTTAACATTCTTGCCATCTGGATCCTGAAACTTTCCTCAATTCCGAAGTTCTGTATTACCACCATAATGCAATGTAGTTTGCATGATAAAAATGAAATTATTAAACACCTTTTTCTGATTAAGATTTAACTTTTTAAAGTTGTAGAACAGTTTTTTGTTGTTGTTGTTTGTTTGTTTGTTTTTTGAGACGGAGTTTCATTCTTGTTGCCTAGGCTGGAGTGCAATGGCGTGATCTAGGCTCACTGCAGCCTATGCCTCCCAGGTTCAAGCAATTCTCCTGTCTCAGCTGCCTGAGTAGCTGGGATTACAGGTGCCCACCACTATGCCTGGCTGATTTTTGGTATTTTTAGTACAGATGGGGGTGGGGTGGCGTGGAGGGGTGTTTCACTACATTGGCCAGGCTGGTCTTGAACCCCCGATCTCAGGTGATCCACCTGCCTTGGCCTCCCAAAGTTCTGGGATTACAGGCATGAGCCACTGCGCCCGGCTTTATAGAACAGTTTTTTTAAACTTCCTTACACACACGCAAAAGAAAAAACAAAAATAAAAAAGAATTGTCTTCTAAGGCTGTTAATGTTAATACTGTCACCTAAAGTAAAAGATGGCTTTCTTTGGGCATCATTTTCAATTGCTTATTTTTTGTTTTTAAATCATTTCTGGAGAGAAAGAGAAAATATTAGTCCTAAACTCTTACCTGGGTTCACTTACTAGCTAAGTGACTTTGGCCAGTTTCAAGTTCGTACTTTAACCAGATGGCAAATTATTATTTGGTAAGAAGTTTGGGTCTTTCTCAAATAGTTGAAACTGTAGCATTGAGTCTTCAAATGTGAAAAGCCTACTATAAAATAGCAGTCTGTCTTTTGTTTTCCTTTTATTTTTAGTTTTCTTTTTTTTTTTTTT